TTAGCGATATTTATCGCAAATAAGAATATAATTCTCAGTCATATTCATTATCGATATCAGTTACTGATGTTAATCGCAAATAAGCAGCAGTCTTGAGTTCTAGAACTGACTGTCTATTCTAAAAAGTTTCTATAAATTTTGTCATTTATATTCTTTATTCAGTAACTCATAGTAACTCATTATTGATGCTTCAAATAATAATGCTCCCTCACATACATACATCAACTGGTCCATTGTATATAAAATGATTAGCATTAATATCTATTCACTGTTGTCTATGGGACAGAGGATGAAATGGAACTTCATCAATATTTGAATTTAATCCAATGGGATTGTTAGATCCTGATTGGTGTAAAAATAATGAATGAATTATTGTTATTGCTAACACAATAAATGGAAGAATTAAATGAAATGTAAAAAATCGTGTTAAAGTAGACTCATTGTACGAGATCAATACCTAAATGTGGGACTGCTGATGATAATTTTTAGTATCTACAGTTGCTCCTCAAAATGATATTTGACCTATAAATGCAGTCTCTTTTCCATGTCGCTTTTCCATCAATACTAGTCGTATCGATTTAATCACACACTTAGTATTGTAGAAATATTCGTTATGCTATGAATACAAATCACAGTATTGGTCGTCTCTGCTCGGCGGAGACACCGTGTGGCACCGTGGCGTCTTCGGGCAGGTAATTTAATGACTCGACTCGCACCGAACTCAACTGAAGTTTTTGTTTCGGCTTCTGTTGTTTGCCATTTTCTTGTCTGTTGTCTTTTCCTTAGTTTTTTCGGTACTTGGGCTATGCTTTTTTATGTTATGTTGTTGTAGTTATTTTCTTATAGTTTTTTTTGTCTTTATTGTTGTTAGTTTCTGCCACAGCCGGCCTCAATTTTTAAGTTTTGCCAAGCACTATTATTAAATTTTGTTTCTTCGTTTTTTTGTTGTTTTTTTTTTTTTGTTTATAGCGCACAAGCACAAAATGGCGACTTTGTTGCAGCAAAGTTTGTTAGTGACATTTTTGTTGTTGTTGTTCATCGTCGTCTTCTTCTTCTTCTCCTTCTTCTGCTTGGTATGGGCTGCTGTTGCTGTCATTTCATTTAATTACTTTTGACAAATTTTTCACTGCGCTGTCAGCGGCAGGTAAATTGCATTTTCGCTCGCTTCCATATCATGTGCTAATTTGTAAGGAGCCAACGACCCAACAGACAACCCTTAGTACCCTAGACCCCCCCTTACCCTCCTACCCCCATCCCCACAGCATCAATCCATCGGAAGACATGCCATTCCCTACCTTAGCTTCAGCCCCCTAGATACGAGTAAGGTGTATGTGCGAGGGCTGATGGGCAACAGTTTAAAGCTAAAAGTGTGCCAAATATTTGCACGTATTACACAACAACCCCACCGAACCACCGACTAGAACCACCGCCCCCAATGAACCACACTTGGCCATATTTGCATGGTTTATTTACTTTACGTTTTTCGCATGTATTTTATGTATTTGCCTTGGCAAACAAATAACTTTCAACAGTGGGAATGGGCAGGATTGGGGCAGGCTCTTAGGCCGAGTGTACAGTCGGTGCCATAAGTATGTACCAATTCGTCAATGTAATACTTACAAATACTTGTTAAGAAAGCAGTACCTAAAACGTTCTTCCCTTTTGTACTCAAGCCTAGAGTATCGGTAAAGTAAGCTTTTAATATAAACATCTAAGAGTTGGCGAGCACTTTTACTCCAAAAAGATTGCTTATCCCTTGAAAATATGTTATATACATATGTATGTACATGTTGTGATAATGTGATGTTGCTTCTAAACAAAAGAAAGATTAAATTAAATTAACAACTTGTTAAAAACTATTATTTTTAAATTTGACGGGCAGTTTTTAATAAAAAAAGCGTATCTGTGGAACTTTCAAATTAACAGATTTTGTAATTATGATAATGTACTTGTATATATTCAGTTTATTTTGGTATTATTTTTGTAAATTTAATTTGATTTTATTTATTTTAAAACCTTGCTCCGATAATATATTGAAAGTAAGTGAGGCTACGAAATCATTTTGATATCGAATCAAATGCCTCATTTGGAACGAAAATATATCAGAATACATATCTTTACAAATATAATATATTGCTAAATAAATAATCATATTAAACACTAGATATTCCAGTTTGAAATTTTATTCACTTCCGAGTACAGCCAGGTACCAATAATAATATATTGAAAATAATACTACAAGTATATTGATAAAGAAACACAGCTACTACTTAATAGACTTTTAAGAAAAGGCACCATTAGAATCAACTAAGAACTGCATCGTTTATTTGTAATGTGCAGTTCGTTTTTGAAATAAGCACAAAGCCACACTTACAACTTGTTTTATTTTAATAGAGTTGAGTGGACAGCCCTCAAGACTGTTTGAGGAATGCAAGGCAGGAACTTCATCAGCTTTGCAGATTGCTGAGCTCTCAGGCGCTGTCACAATACTTGTGTGAGCTAACGTATTGCTCGTTCAGTTGATAACGAGCAGCGGCTTGAACCCTTGTGGCATTCAACCAACCAAGCGCATGTGTGTGTGTGTGTGTGTGTGTGTGTGTGTGCATCCTTTTATTTTTCATTAGCAGATAGTTTAGTTAAAGCAAACATGCTTTTCGCTTCTGCTGCTTTGCCACATTCGTTTGTCATTCTTTCGTTCATTTATTCATTTGCTGTTCATCCCTTTTTGCAGTTCGTTTGATCCTTTTGGCTGCCCGCAGCTCAGTCCATGTCCCCACTTACAGACCTCCCTTTGTCCACCCCATCCTTGGGCCACTTCCCCCCACATACGAGTACATCAGGGCAGAGATGCTTGGCTTATTAGTTGGCCTTTGGCCCTAATCACATATAGTCGTTGAGCATACACTTTGGCTAAGCATGTTATGCTGTTTATTTATTTGTTGTTCTTTGTTTGCTCGCCTGTTTGTTGCTTAAAGTTTGCGCTGCATTGTTGTTGCTGTTGTTATTGTTGCTGCTGCTGCTGCTGCTGCTGCTGTCTTCCATTAGCCACTCAGCAAGTTGGAGTGCGTCCTCGTGCGCAAATCAAACAAATGAAAACAAAAAAAATCTACAAAACAACAAGCAACGTACAAACAAAATAAAATGCTGCCAAAAACTTTTACACAACAACACCAGCAACAACAACAATAAAAGGACTAGCGGCAGCAACAACAAACAGCAAGTTACGCTCTTAATCATATAATCTACATATGTGCATATTAATGAGTGAATTTTTGTTAGTTCGACTGCTCGCCTTTCCTCCCTCTCTCTCTGTTCTCTTCCCGACTCGTCTGCTTCCCTTCCTCCTGTTTGTAAAATGAAAGTTTCCTGCCTCTCTTCTTTCTGACTATCTTTCTCTCTGTCACACACTTTGCATAATTGCTTATTGTTGTTGTTGTTTTTGTTGTTTTTTTTTACTTTTAAAAGCTTTTTTAAGTAACTTGTACTAAATTAACTTAAAAACATTTCATGCTCACCACTCAACACAAACACAAACACACACCCACAAATACACATGTCGTATACGTAATATGCCCGATGGAGGGCAACTTTTTCGGCACTTGAACCAGAAGCAAACGCATATACCATACATGTGAGTGAATAAAAGTGTCTGTAAATAAATGAATGGACGATTGAGTGAACACCTTAAAGGTGAATGAGTGCACAAATGATGGAGACAGACTGAATAAAGATTTCCAAAAGTTCGCTTACATTTTGAATCAGAAAGTAAGACAAAATTGTCAAAATTGAAGAATTAATACTTTATTGAGTGAGTGATTAGTTAAAAAAAAAAGTATTAGTACATCAGTGAAGTATATCAAGAGATCAACATGAAAGGCAACTTCTACCTCTAAGTAAATGATCAAATGAATCAATAAATGATTGAATGTGCCAATCAAGAAGTGTCTTCTAATCCGTCTACTACTTTTCAAAAATAGTCCAGAGCTGTTTGAAATTTTACAAAATATAAAAATGAAGTGAAGAAGCGAATCAATTCAGATTTAAGTAGTAAGTGAATGTTTAATGATTTTTTTTTAAATTTTTTAAGCTATTTTTGAAACTGTAAAGAATTCGCAGCTAAGAAAACTTATAAAGCAAAACAAAACAGCAAAACAGTCAGCAATATTGATTGCTTTATTGATTTATTATGACATCAAAAAAATAAAATATAACATTTGAATCATAAATAAGGACCCAAGCGCACAAGATGATTGACAAGTGAATCAAGGTGTAATTAAATTTACGAATGAATAGACTCCAAACAAGCCGTTTGTAGGTAATTCTAATTACAACTCAATGATTGAATAGTAAGTATATTTACTAACAAGAACCTCTTAGATGTTTATTTTAAAGAGCAACCATTTATCATCACAGGGGCGAATTATTTAACTTGCTATGTAAATAGCTGCTACTAAGGAAAAGAAGCAAACATTTCATAAATGGCACAGCATTCAACTCTAATGCGACCCTAATACTCGTATTTTATGAATTGATAGCACAGTTGAGTGAAATAAATGAACGTGAACTTGAATTCCTTGTCGAATATAAATGAAATCCGGCATAAGCACAATATGGCTCAGTAATGCTAATATTTCTGCATTCAATTGTCTCCAAATCCCCCAAGTCCGTTCTCCACTCTGCCCATTGCTATTGCTATTGGTATTGCCCATTGCCAGACTTTATCAGCGCGTTTATTTTTGCCAAAATTATTGGTAGCACATAGCTCGACGCCAAGCGGAATTCCAGCCCACGCAAAGCAAATGCAGTTCAAATTTCGGATGAGTTCTGTAGCTCAGACAATACAAAATCGCAGGAATTCCAATGCCTTACGACCAAAAAAGAAAATAAAAGTAAAATAAAATACTGTCAAGAGTCATTTGAAATGCCAGAGCCAGAGCTCAACGAAGAAGAAGACGACGATGACGGCGACGTCAGCAATGCTGGCGAAAATTGTGAAGAAATTCCAGCACAATTTTTTATTGAGCAACTTCGATTGAGCGATGTCCTCGTCGTCGTCACTGCTGCACAGTGGGCTGAGATGTATTTATTCAAAAAAACTCTACCTATCCATATATATTGATAAATAAATTAAGTTAGAGGTGCAACCATATTTGTGGCTAGATTGGGGAGCGTGCTCTGGCCACTGGGCAAGTAGGAGACGCCAGGAGATCTTGAGAGCTGATGGGCGATATCCTCAGCGGCCTCAATGCGACGCAGCTCGACGAACCCGTCGCCAGCCTCTTCGAATGACTTGGCCAACAAATCGGCAGCCGCAGCATCGCCTTCGGCCGATATAATGGAAGCCAATTTGTGTTGCTCCGCCTTTTCCACAATGAAGCGCGCCTTCTCCGCCTCCTGCTGGGCCACCTGTTTCATTTCCACAGCCGCCGTGAGCTCCCGCCCAAAGGCCAGGTGTGTCAGCGAAATGTCGTCTAGCATGAAGCCAAAGGACCTGGCTCGCACGGTTAACTCATCGGACACCCGTTGCGACACCCTTTCCCGTTGTGTAATCAGCTCGCCAGCATCGAATTGGGCGACCACAGCCTTGAGGACCTCTGGCACAATAGAGGGCAGCACACGCTCATCATAGTCCTCACCGAAATTGGTATAGATCCTGGGCAACTGTCCCGGTATGGGATGATATAGAATCCGCAATGTGATATTCACGTTCTGCAGGTCCTTGCTGCCCGTCTCCACCGGCACAGTACGGGGCTGCGAGCGTACATCGAAAATGATGGGCCGCTGCACCCAGGGTAGAAAGAAGTGGGTGCCCTCGCCCACCACCTGCTTCCTGACGCCAGTGAAACGATCAAAGATCACCGCCCGATGTCCACTGTCAACGGTAAAAAGGGACGACTTGACAACTGCGCCCAGTAGGGAAACGGCAAGACTCAATTGTCCCATCCTATTGAGGATTTGGGCGCACATTCTATTTAAATACTATTGTGTACAGAAATTTTCAATAGCAACATAAGCAAAACGTTTTCCAGAAGAGATCGAAAATGTGGAGAAAACCTTTTTAGGTGTTCTAACTAGTTGTGTTCTTCTACAGAGAACTCCAAGTACTAATATAACTACAAGTTGAACTTTAAACATCTATTGACACAGGAATCGAAACAAAAAAAGTGCAAGTCGAGTAGTTGAGTAAATCTTTAAAATTGTTACATATTAGAAACTGTGTAAAAGGTAAAAACACACATTATATCTGATTAAGTAGAAAAGGTCTTATTGTTTAATAATATTAGAAACACACATATTTATGAGTCTTTTTTTTTTTTCGAATAAATGAAATGAAAAAAAATGTAAATTTAGTTCTATAAGAATACACAGTTCTTTGCAATAATAGCTAGGACTACTTCTTGAAATCATACTTTGGTATTATTTCCAGGTTGCTTTATTTAATAAACGTACTTATCTGTACAATTTTTTTGATTCAAGGCTACATTTAGTTATGTATGTTTTGCCAGAACTTTTTAATCTACAGGTTTGTATTGTATCGCTCGCAAAATTGTTCTCTAATCGCTTACTATTCTCATTACATTTCTACATTTATAATCTTTTATATCCTACGCCACTAAGGCTTTATCTTTCGCATTCCACACTTGAGAGCTTTAAACAGAAAATTTGAGACACCGATTCAAGTCCTTTATTTAGACCACCATCAGCTCTAAATTGGGTAATAGCTTTAGTGCTCTAGACCACTATCAGAAATTTCCTCTTTTAAAAAATAAATTATTTGAAAATATTAAGAGAAAATTTAAAAATAGAGACACCGATTTATCCCTCCTCTTGTTATCTTTTTCAGTTTAAAATAAAATCGATTAAAAATATGCCAAAAGTGCAATCAGAACTTTAGATATCTTTTGAGGTATAGTATATATGTAAACTATGTGTGTAAGATCGTAAATATTGGAGAATTGCTGGTGAAGAAGAGAAAGATCAGCAGTAAGCAGTCAGTTGCCAGTCGTCAGCGGTCCCTTAAAGGACTCACTCATCAACCGCAGGGATCAGCAGTCAGTGGTATATTAATTAATAATAAACAATATTAACTTGAAATATAACACATTAGTAGGGTATTTGCAAAAATTTCGTATAGTTTCGACCACGGTTTGTCATCGTCCTGTGTCGGCAAGTGTGAAGCTAAATAAACTCAATACAGAAATCCTTTTAAAATCAACAATACTGTATTCTGTTGCAGGGTGCTGTCGAGCCCTTTGACAGCAGACGGGGTACGGACTACGGGGTTCAGGGTGCGTGGTGCGGGGTGCGGGGCACGGTGTGTGTGAGGGCAGCATTGACGATGGCAATAAAAAGCGCAAACGACAGCAGCTCGGGTTGTCGGAAGGAAATGTCGTCATTACTGTGCAACTTATTGGAGCAGCGGCGATGCTGTGACAGTAGCATTTCCACTTGACACCATGCAATGTTCAAACACACATATACAAGTATATACAAGTATATATGTATATACATTTATATATGTACGAATTTGTGAATGGTTGGGTGTATGCGAAATATGCAAATGTGTTAAGAATCTTACAAATTTGTTAAGCAAATCGAAGACGCAGAACGAAAAACGAAAAACGCAGCACACAAAAACCTGAGCACATTTATCATGAATGAATGGTGTGCGTATTGCCGAAGGGTTTAAGGGGCGGCTGAGGGGGTGTGTGTCGGGTGTTTGGGTGTTTGGGTGTAGGTGTTGGGTTAGCGGCAATCACACTTTGATTTATTCATGCGCCGACGCTCGCGACTCCCCCCCCCCCCCTCCCCCACACCCCCCTCTGACATTTGTGAGCAGGTAAATGTGAAAAGTGTAACACGTTGCATGTTTAATGGGCGGCTGAATGGCAGCCAAATACTTGGCGCGTGGCATGACTTCTTCTTCTTCTCCTTCCCTTGCTTATTGGCGCTGTTGTTGCTGTTGTTGTTGTTGTTGTTGTTGTTGGCCCCAGTTTATGAGCTGCAAACATTTACAGCATTTATGTACATTGCCAATGCGAAAGAGCCTCCTAAAAAAAATCATTGGCAATAAAAGATTTGTTTTGCAATTTAGCCACAAAGGCGACGCATTTTACATTCATGTCGCATGTGAATGAGTAATCGTATGTTGTTGATGCTACTCGTACAGTAAACGCCATTTAAACGCAACTCTGCCTGTGCTTTGTGCAATTTCTAATACACTTAATTCTGTTCCAAAAACAACCGTGTAAAAAAGACTTAGGTGATTGGTTCCTTACCCCTACAGAAATATATATTAACTTTATTCTTAACTTTCAAACCGTTTTATATTACAATCGTGTAAAAAAGTCCGTGTAAAAACAGAATTAGAATGGAGAGCCATTGGCTTGTCAAAATACCAGCTTCAAAAATATTGTTTTCTCCATCATAGGTCCATTTCGAAACTAAGGCACTTAGGTGGCACAGAAATATAATTTTTCTTCTATCTCTAAATAATTTATTGTCGATCCTAAAAGGATTTCTATAATAGAAAACATTCTTTATCAAATTGCAAATTTTGAAGGAAATTATTTGCTATTCTGAACATTATCATCTTCTTCATTATCATATCGGATGCAATTTCGAACTCTTTATTTATATGTTGGGTTGCCAATCACAATCATCAATCATCGCTGGTCATTTTATGTCTTTAAAAATATTTAGAATTTATAATTCATTTTCAAGTCGATGAGACAATTATTTGTTTTCATTTGTTTCTTTTTGTAACCTACGTTTATCACGCGAATAACTCCATTTTTTTTTTTTTGTCGATCACAATCATCCATCATTCATTATCGAAGGTCACTTTATTTTCATACATTTTTTGTAACTACTCAATATTTGTTAAATTCAAATTAAACTCTAATTCAATGATGTTGTTTTAATCCCTACAGGACTGTCTTTATACTCTCGTCTCCGCACTAAGTATCAAGACGTTGGTAAGTTCTAAACATTTTATAACACTAATAAAGCACTAACATCCATAACGTTCATAAAAGACTTGTGATTCAAAATTATCAGAAAGCGACCATCATGCGAATAAATAGGAAGTTTCAATCCTAAATGCTTAAGAATTTCCTTTAACAAGCAAGCAACTCAATATTCTTCACTAAAAGATATTGCTATAGCATGTGTTGAAATATTTTTACAGATTGACATTTCTTATTGATAATCTTTTTTAGAGGAACGTTTTTTTTTTTTTTTTTTTTGAACCGGCGGGCCATCTTAACGGTTTGACAGCCATTAATCAGAAATTGGTTGACTATAATTCCATTTCTACTGTATAATCAGTTTGACGTAGGGGGACGTACATAAATCAACTAGCAGCGCCATCTAGCGCGCGAACTAATAGCACAGAACATTTTCAACGCACGAATAAATAAAAATAATTTGAAGCGGCCGCCGACAAGAAAGGAAACAACCAAAAAAAAAAAAAAAAAGATGAAGAAATAAATAAAAAATACTTCAAACAATTTTTGGCAGTCACCTGTTTGGGGAATTGTGCGTGAGCCTGTCTGTGTGTGTGTGTGTGTGTGTGTGTGTGGGTGTTTGTGAGTGTATGCGAGTGTTTGGGGATGGGAATGGTGTTTGCTTGGGCGCGCTGGCCCATGTAATGTGGCAGGTTTTGCCATAAAGCGGATTTAAATTTGATTTTGTTGTAGCACAGGCGCAGACTTGCCTACGCCCCCCTCCCAACCCCCACTCCCCCTCCCTTCACGCACCACCCTCAGACTTGCCGCCACCGCCGCCACCATGGTAGCAGCCAGCCACCCATTCGGGCCCAGAGCACTGTTTTCATTGTGCCTTGGAAAAACAAAACGGCGCTCACGCAAAATAAACAGAAGTATGTGCATGCAAATTAAATTTGAATACTCTTCAATGAGCTTTGAAGATGCCAAGCTGGCAGAGGCACAGGCATAGGAAAAGGCATAGGCACCAGTAAAGCGAGCAAAGTTTTTTTGTGCAATTCCCAACATCCCCACCAGTGAGTAGAGATGGGAGATAACCAAGCGAGGCTCACGAATTGAGTTCAAAATCAATTCGAATTCATTTTGAGACAATTTCTAATTTGTAATCATCAGGAATGTTAAATGCAGGCATTGCAGAATGGAGACATGTTTTTATTTGAATTGATCGCCAAATTGTGCTGTCCGTACAGATTACAATAAATATGTGTATAGAGAGATGAAGATATTATATATTTTATTACAACAAATATATCGAATAGATAAATTAAAAAATACAAATTTAGCACAAGTCTCAAAAATAATCTTCAACAATGTCTATTAACGCCTTCGACACGTTAGAATTTCATTGCATCGATTCACAGCCAAATTTGGTCAGAGATGTTATAACTAACTAGCAAAATATTAAGTAGAGAAGACAACTTAATTCTTGTTATGAGCTAATTAGATTAAGTAATGTTATGAAGGTAATTGTTCTAAAACAGTAATAAGCTCCGAGATATTTGATAAATATTCAAATAAAATTTTATTCAAGCTTTAGAAAGTAGTTTGCAGCGACGCAATCTTACGATTCTGCAGAAATTTCTTTTAAAGCTGCATTCGAAAATAATAAATTGCAGTTTTAATACTATGTATCTATATTTATAAGTATATGTAGTACATTTAATAACTCATATCATCCTGTCTATAAATAAGCAATCAGTTTAATTTATTTTAGCTAAAGAATTTCACACAAATTTTTTTCTTGACAATTTCTTTTCTTTACAAATTCTTTTCTTGAAAAATTCTCTTCAGACATTTTCTTCTTAAAAAAATGATCTTTTTCAAAAATTCTCTTCTTTACAAATTATTTTCTTCACAAATTCTCTTCTTCACTAATTCTCTTCTTCACAAATTCTCTTCTTCACAAATTCTCTTCTTCACAAATTCCTTTCATCACAAATTCTCTTCTTCACAAATCTTCTTTACAAATTTTCTCTACAAATTCTCTTCTTCAAAATTTCTTTTCTTCACAATTTCTTTTCTTCA